CAAAATACTCTGACCAATACCAACTTGGGGAGGAAAGGGTTTATTTTAGCTTACATCTATCTCCTGGGTCACAGTTCAGCAGGGCACCCAAGGTAGGAACCCAGGGGAAGGAATCTGGACTCAGGAGCTGGAGCACAGGCCGTGGAGGAACTCTGCTTGCTGGCTTGCTCCCCTAGCCCCTGCTCAGCCTGCTTTCTTAGGCAACACAAACTCACCTGTCCAGGGGTGGCACCACCCACAGTGGGCTGGGCCCTCCCACATCACTCAACAATCAAGGTGCCCCACAGACATGGTTACAGGCCAGTCCTATGGAGGCAATTCCCCAATTGAGGCTCCCTCAATCCAGGTGTGTCAAGTTGACACTAAAGCTAGCCAGCAACCTCCCCCCCGACACACCCTATCCTTCACTATAATCTCCTGTACCATCATCTGTATAATCTGTGCTTTCTTGCTGTTTAGACTGCCAAACTTTCTCAAAACATTTCTTTCATTTATTTGCCATAAGGGAAACCTGGATCTTTGGAGGGCACTTTCCCTTTATAGCTTTTAGATGGTGATTGTCTATTGTTTCACAATCATTATTTTTGATATTCCTCTGTACCTCAGATTAGGATTCCCACTGACCCCTAAGAATATTTTTATCTTTTAGGCTTATGTGTCAGTGTGTAGCACTTTTGTCCTGTCATTGTAACTAAACTCTTGGCTTACTAATCTTTTTCCTACATTTATCAAAAAGTGGACCCTTGATGTCTACTCTTCCTTTATACTTCAAGTCCTCTTACTATACTGAGTGTCATTATGCTAGAAGACAACAGCAGACAACCCATCCACAACCTTGACTCCTCCTCTCACATGGATGACCTGCTTTACTCACCTCAGTCATTGGCTTCTTTTGCTCTCACAAGTATGTTTCCTCCCAAAGCACTATTGTAATGCTTGTGGAATACCAAAATTTGGCTGATTTCTTACAGACCTCCATTACATATCTCCAGTACACTTAAAATTTTATCAACTGTCTTCCCTTCCCTTTACTTCCTTCTTATTCAGCTTAGCTTGAGTTAGGCCCATTATTGTCTGAAATTCCTTAGCCTTTATTTACTTTCAGCTTATTTATTAAAAAAGTCTCCCAAATACTGCTATTCAAATTTTCTTTTGTTAAACTATAATTGATTTACAGCATATCAACCAAAATAAATGATGCTATTCCCATTTTCTACATTTGAATAGGAGACAGACTCCTGGGGGTGGGGGGAATCACACAATTTCATTCATTTATAAATGTAACCTCAAAGGTAATGTATCACCTGGCAATTCCACTGTTTCTTTCATCGGTTCCAACTCTCATTCTTTGCAAAAATTTTTACAAAGTCCTTATTTTTCTTCATTCTCAGATGACCTTGTCAAATTTATAGAAATCTGAAGGAATCAGACGATATCAGTTTTTCATTACTAAACCGCAACGCCCATTTCTATTTGCATCATTTTTTTTCTTCCTTTGAACTACTTTATTAGAAGCAGCTTTCCTTCTTGAAAGGCCAATGTTTACTCATGCTTTAAATTCTATCATCCTCATTTTCTGGGGAATGGTAATGTTTTCTTGTCCTCCAGTCACCCCTTCTTACTTCCATGTACCCAATCATTCCTTTTCACCAGTATCTTTCCACTTAATATAGAAAATATATCACTACCCAACTATTAATCTTTAGAGTTAGTAAGTCACTTTTTTGAACTTCAGTTTCTGAATTACTTTAAGAGTATGATTTAAATAAAAATACTTTGTAACCTGAAAAAGCACTACTTAATGAGTGTTGATGTTAGAATTTATTTCGGTCTGTAAGACGAAAGGAATTGACTTCTCAAGATTCTACTTTTTTGTCAGTTTGGGGAGTGTAACTCAACTTTCCAGTTATTAACTATTCATAATTTAACAGTAGAAAATGTTTTCAACAGTACTAACTCAAAAGCACAGAAAAATTCTATTTAAAAATCAGTATTTTTACTTAGACTAAGATACTAGAGCCTAGCACCTCAGCTTATTGTCAGTCAAAATTTAATCATGGTGTTAGGCATATATCAACAACCAAATTGGATTTGACTATAATAGCATCTGAGGCCTGATTAAACTACTTCATCCCTATCACCACTAAGTTCCCTTCACAGTTATATAAACAAAATATCTTAACTGAACAAATTAAGTGAAGGATCTTTTCTAAAATGCCATGTCTTATATTTGAAGAATTCTCAAGTGGCTCTTTTGGGATCATAATTTCAGATGTTCCACAGTTCAATATAGAAATCTAGCTTTACCTGATGGTGTTAAATATGTACCCTAGCTCAGAAAAATGTTATTGAATAGGTTAAAAAATCTTTATTCTAATACATTAAACTCTCAACATGACTATGTTTAGAAATAAGATCTTTAAAAATATTAACTACAGTGAATTTACTATGCTCTAATTCAGTATGACTGCCTCCTATAAAGAAGGTATTCAGGTTCAGACATGAGCAAATGAATATCAAGTAAAACAGGGAAAGCTTGGCCATTTATGAGGCAAGGAGAAACACTTCAGAAGAAACAAATTCTGTGAATACTCTAGCTCTCTAACTTGCATTCTGTAGAATTATGAGAAGAAGAATGTTTTATGTTTTAGCTTCCTAGGTGTGGTACGTGTTTTGGTAGCCCTAGCAAATGAATACAATAAGTATCAAGAACACTGGCAACAACGATGAAGAATCACCCTAAGAAGACTTCCTCTCTCTCCAGTATACAGAAGATGAAAAATAATAAAATAAAAGCAGGGATATTGTATCAAGGAAAGTATCATGAGCAAATTTCAATAATTTATTGTCACTAATCATATGTTGCAGTATAATTGTATGTTGATCATATTGATTTAACTATTGGCTTGCATATTGATTTTTGTTTATTCATATATGTCTTGTTTAAAAACTGTAAGCTCCTTGAAGTATGTGCTTATTTTCTTTCATCTTTTTACTCTCCATCTTCCCATGTTTTACATTTTAGGGATTTTCTTTTAAATAGCCCTCCTTTAAAAAATAAAGTATCACTCATACTTCAGCATATTACATTATTAATATAAGACTTGTAACAATTTTGGATTTTGTCTTGTGGTATTCAATCCAGGGCCTCACATATGCTAGGCAAGCACACTAGCACTGGAGTGTATACTCCCACCTCTATTATCTTTACAAGTTTTGGCCACCTCTCTCATTTCTTCCTTTATTTGCCCTGAGTCACTATCTTCTTAAAATCCTTTTCCTTTGGAATGTTTCACTTCTCATCCATTCTTTGAGAAGTTACCCTTGAAATTTAACTACATATTGAAATAATCAATTTTAATCATCTTAGCCAGTTTTTGGAATAACAAACACAGCACCTCAGAACATTTAATTCTAATCATGCTCTTCCCATATTTTAAGTGTTTTCCAGTTATACACTTATTTGAAAATGCCACATTAATGTTCCTTAACAATATTTATTGTTTTATGTTTACAGTTTCTATAAATTTCATTTGATTGTTGTATACATTTACAAATATTTAACATTGTATTTACTTAGTACTTTAATCAGATCTTCAACTACTTTTTTCTTGTTGAAACCATCATTTTTCAGACTTTTTAATGAAGGTCTGCTGTTGGTGAATTTTGCTTCATGCAAATTCTGATAATTCTCATTAATTCTGAAGGCATTCTTTTACATCCTTGGGTACAGTGCTGCTGCTGGGAAGTCCAAGTATGTTACCGACTTGACTTTATTGAGGATGTTAAAAGCCCCTTTGACTCTTTTAAAGCCTTTTGTACCTTCCAGTTCACTACTTGTATCTAATCATGAATTTTTATTTTTTTATTTTTTGGTCTTTTTGAGACAGGGTCTCCCTGTAGCCCTAGCTGTCCTGAAACTCACTATGTAGACCAGACTGGCCTTGAACTCAGAGATCTGCCTGCCTCTGCCTCCCGAGCGCTGGGATTAAAGGCGTGTGCCACCATGCCCAGCCCTGAATTTTATTTTCAAAATGTGTTTCAATTGTATCACATTTCTTGAATTTAAAAATGTTTTGCCAACAACTGTATATAATTTTGTCATCTCAAACTCCGTCTCTTCCAATCCCTTTGTTGTCTCTGATCAGGACCCCATAACCTTTCTTCCTACCTCTTTCTGTTTTCTAGCTCGTTTCTCCTTGTTCAATGGTTTTTAGTCTAGTTTCCAATTCACTGATTTCTTCAGTAGTGTCTACTACAATTAAAGTCTAGTTTTCTTTTTCTTCTTTCAACACAGTTCTCATTCCTAGGAGCTCTTCTTGGTTATTTCCCACATCTGCCTATGGTTCTAACCTACACTTCTTATGCTGGTGTGAACTTGGAGAACTGAATTCAATGTTTATTTTTATCACAGTTTATTTCACCTGCTACTTAGTTTCATCTTGCACTTGATGATGAATAATCATGAAAAATATTGCTTGATCATAATCATGGGAATCTTGAGTCCAAGTGAGGAACACTTCTAGTTTGTTTCTGCCAGGAACTATACAGCACAATGTGAGAGCTATTTAATGTCAACTGTCCTACCTAGGAATCACCTCAGAGTCATTTTTTTGGTTTGAGGCAAATAACATACTACTGTGCTGCACGTACAGACATCTGCCATCTAGGAAACCACAGCCTGTTTATATGTTTAAAACAGTATTTGTGACCTTCAACTTAAAATGTTCATGAAAATACTGCAACTGTGTGTATATTAGAAAAGTCCCATCGGATGAACTTATTTGACAAGTTGTTGCTTGACTTGGTAGAAATATCTTCTCATGATAATCAACTATAGTTGAAACTGACTGGTCAAAGTTTGATGTTCTAACCAATGTGTGATCCAGTTCAATAGGACTTTACTATCATAATTCACATTTTGAACCTTTAAAAAAAGATAACAGTGATTTGTTACATGCAACTCCATCGAGGTGCCTGTTTATTTTTGGAAACCTGAGCCACCTATAATATAGGCAGGGCCAAACAAGGCAGCTGGTGATTTCATGTTAGTCAGATACACATCTAACAACAACAACAAAAAAATCACAGCAGACCTAGTTGCTATCTTAAATGCAGGCAGATTAGTTACATCTTTATTGGACAGAGTTGTTGATCGGTGTTTTCTGGGTGATCAGGAAGCTCTTTTTGTGTCACCCTAATCACTGAAGTAATGAAAGGAGATACCCGCAGCAAGGACTGCAACTGCGAACGCTGCAATCACACCTAAAAGTGAAACAAACACAAAACATGGAAATCAAATGAGCAAAGAAAGGCTTAACTGACCCTAGGCTCTGTGACGTGGACAGCAGATGTGTCTATAAAACACCATACACACAGAGACACGCACATGTACACATACACTACAAATATATATGCACTAAAAGTCATAGAAAAACTAGGTTAGTAATGTTGGACAAGTGTCTCTTACAGATAAACACATTAAAAAAAAAACAAATACTTTCAAAGGCTTCTATAAGTGTGTGTATATACAAACCACACATACATACATGTACGCACAGACACAGACAAATATCCAGTAGACCAGCTGCCTCATATTGCTTAGATTAGACTAACACACACTCCAGGTGGTAATAGTTCTCAAGGATTGTAATGCAGTCATGTGTATGCTACTGGCACTTTCCATCATAATAAATACTGGCCTAATCTAACACTCTGATGAAATGAAAATAATCTTAAAATTAAAGAGAACCTCAAACTCAAAATAGTTTTCAAAGTTATAAAAAAAAGTAAAATACCTATGTTTTGTTGAATTTTCAATACTAAATTTGTTTTATTTGGTTGCTCTGGCTGTTCATCATCTGCGTTGGTCAATGAAGCTTCACTATCCATAAAGGAAGTCATACAAGCTGCAACAAATCATAATAAACTCTAGATAAAATGTGGATTGTCATTTAACATTGCGTTTTAAAGACCACAATAAAGAATAAATGCAATCAGCACCATTTTCCTTCCACAAATCTTTTTTTATAATGTGCGTTTGTTCATTACCGAATGCAGGTGAACTAAGTTTCATGGAATATATGTCAAGTAGACATGGCTTTCAAAACACTTGCTATAGTTTTATCATCGGACTAAACCAGAAAGCCACAGAGGAAGAAATGAATTACTACCATGTTCACTCACTTCTCAAGCTAAAATTGGATTATAGGAAGAAAATATGAACAAGAACCTATACAGTCTAAAAAAATTAAAATATTTACTATTTGGCCTAAAGCAGAATTTTACAGACTCTTGATGCTTGAAATTTTACATATACAGGTAAAACATACCAGAAATTTATTTACAAAGCTATAAATGTTAAGGAAGGGAAGTACATCATCACATTTTACAAACGGAAAACAAACCCAGGAGGTTAAGCACATTAATCAGGATTATGGGCAGTTGACCAAGTTTAATTTTTTTTTCATTTTGTTTTTTAAACAACAGAAACAATTTAAAATTTTTTTATTATTTGTGTGTACATGTGATGTATGTGTTTGACTGTTGGTGCACATGTACCATCATCTGCATGTGGGAGTCAGGACAACTTTTGGGAGTTGGTTCTTTCACCAGCCAGGAGTTCCTGGGATGGAATTCAGGTGTTACAAGTGTACAGCAAGGGTTTCCACCCACAAAGCCTCTCCCCAGCCCAAACACGAATTTTTACTCATTATGCTAACAACAATTTAGATACATTTGCCTATCTAAATTCACTTAACGCTGATGAAATCCTTAGAGATCATACAGGCCAGTGGCTGTTTTCTCCCCAGAGTGCTGAAGAAGCCTATGAAATAAATAAAATCTGACAGAAGAACTCAGTCTGTAAGACAAATGAGAGCAGCAGCACTCAAGTTGTGGCAGAACGAAGTGCTTCTGGAACCTGACCAGCTGCACCCTGTCCCCTCCAGAACTGGCAATGAAGTGCGGCACTACAGAATTATAGAAAACTATGCTTGAAACAATGACTTCAGATTGATTCCTTTATTTACCAAGAAAAAAAAAAGAAGTGGGGAGCAAGAGGAGGAGGGAACCAAGAGTAGGACATAGTAAATCTTTGCTTAAATTAAATAGCCTGTTTTAATTTAAAATGCCCTTATCTTTGTTTCCCATTATACTAGCATAGACTCAAAGGATGACATCTACTTACTGAAATAGGTAGCTGTGGTACTAACATGAAGAAGTTGGAAAGTATTTATTTACTTATTACTCTCCTACACAGGAAGTTTACTGTGGATTTTCAGAAAGGGTACCAACATTCATTTTTCTCTCATATAAAGTACAAATAGACCAAAAACAAAACCATTTTGGTGCTACCTATGAAACACACGGTCTAGCACATAATAGGGAGGACTCTTCCACTGAGCTGTGTCTCTAGCCCTCTTTTCCTTTCATCTACTTCCACATAAAATAAAATACAAAGGACAGCAAATTCATATTATGAACTATCTGTAGAATATCCAATATTTCTATACTTCCTATTTTCCTCAAGGTTGGACTATCTTAGTTCAAGCCTATTCTAACAGTTTTAAATTTCTTCCAACCTTAGTCCATTGTGTCTAAAAGTCAAATGGATAACACAATTTTAATCTTGTTAAACAAACGAAAAAATAACTTTGGCTTTTCTATTGGCAAATACTTGCTTAAAAGATTTTATTTTAAATCTTCAGGCCAATAAAATCTTACATCAAATAAAGAAAATAAAAAATGAAATAAGAGCTATACCAATTTGCTACAGTAAATTTTTCACTTGACTACTTGCATATGATAAACAAAAAAATACTGTCATGCTATTTTATACATTTTTATTGTTATATGTTAAGATTATGACCTAATAAAGAGTTAGAGAATAGTTTACTTCTAGAAAAGGCATTCCACTGGCCCTCTATATTTTGAAATGTATCATACAAAACCATATGATTTAATACAAATTTGAGATAACTGCACAATAATTTGTCCATTTGGTTCTGGTGGGAGCTTAAGTGACTTTAATATAATGTACTTTGTCAGTTCATCAACAGTTCAATATTATCTGAATTTAGATATAAATAACATGAATCAACAAGAAATTAGGTTTGTATCAGTGTACACATTTATGTGTGTGGGGGGGTACACACACCTACACATGAGTGCACACCGGGAGGCCAGAGGTTGACGTCAGGTATCTCCCTCTATCACTTTTCACCTTATTTTTTCACTGAACCTGAAGATGTTTCAATTAAACTGGCTAACCATTTAGCCTCTGGGATCCACCTGTCTTCATAGCCCATTGCTGGGGTTATAGACATACATCACCGTGCTGAGATTTTACATGAGTAGTGTGAGGAGCCAAGCTCAGGTCCTCAGACTTGCATTGCACAGCAAGCACTTTATCTGTGGAGTCATCTCCCAGCCCCTGAAAATTAGTTTTTCAGTCATTCCTTAAAACCAAATAATTTTAAGTTCAGACAAATCTCAAAATAATTACATAAGGAAGTAACCCTGAGCATTTGTCAACAAAAAGAAAAACAGGAGGGGGGTTAGATATACGTGCAAAGTTGTAGATGTTTACTTTTCATTCCAAGAACTAATGGGGTATGCAAGACTATATAGAAGCTTAAAGTAGTAGGACTTGGAACTTTTAAAATACATTATTTAGTGTGTGCATATAACTCATGATGCACATGTAAGAATAAGTTCTCTCCTCTCTTCATGTGGGCTCCAGGAATTGAACTCAAGTCATGAGATCAGGCTCAGTGGCAAGTATCAGTGGCTGAGTCATTTTGCCAGCCACCCAGGACTTGAACTCTTACCTATAGGAGTTCCCTATCCCTGTAGAACTGTAGTCATCAATTAATCTATAAAAATACATCATTAAGGGGGCTGGGGAGATGGCTCAGCAGTTAAGAACACTGTTTGTTCTTGCAGAAGACCCAGGTTCAAATCCCAGCACCTACATGGCAGCTAACAACTGTCCGTAACTCCAGTCTCAGGAAATCCGACAGCCTCTTCTGACCTCTGCGGGCATTGCACGACACCGGTGCACTTACCTACATGCAGGCAATACATGCATACACATAAATACATAAAAATTTTTTAAAAAAATCATCAATTAGATGGTCACAGTACTGTCACACACCTGGAATTCACATGGCTGAGGCAGAAAGATAGTAAAATTGAAAAAAGCCTGGGCTATGAAGAGAGCACATGTTTAAAAACTGGGGGATGAGGGGTTCAAGATGGAGCTGAATGGCTGAAGTATGCTTTTGTACATGAACAAAGCCCTGGCACTTTCATTCCTGTCTATTGCAATAATTTCCCTCCCTCCCTCTCTTTTTTTTTGAGACAGAGTCTCACTATGTAGTACTGACTGGCCTGAAACTCATGGCAGGACATATACAGAAGCTTACAACAAGGTAGTAGACCAGGCTGGCCTTGAACTCACAGAAATCTGCCTGCCTCTGTCAGCAGAGTGCTGGAATTAAAAGCATGCACCACCATGCCCAGGAATAAAAATTTTAAAGTATTACTTATTTTTTCTTTAAATTACTAGTACTTCCCAGGCATGACAGTGCTCTTGGGAGGCAGAAGCAGAAGGATCATGAGTTCAAAGACAGCCTGAGTTATATAACAAGACTTGTCTCAAAAGACAAGGTATGAATATAGCTTGTCTACCATGTACAAGGCCCTATGTTCAACCGCAGAACTAAAAATAAATAAAAAGTCATGTTTAACAACAAAAATTCCTTTAACTCCAAAACCAAGACAGAATTGGCAAAGATGAGTTTCAACAGATTTTTAAAGGTGTGTCTTCAAATTTTTAAAATCTGATATTATGGACGAAGTACATCTGAATTATTAAGTTAATGTCTATAAGATGACTAACACATCTAAAATTTAAAGCCAGTTATCCCTCAACATAAGTGAGTCATTCTGACAAACTGTTTTTTTATCCCTTAAGTCATTTAAAAGTATGTTATTTTAAGATACTAACTTGCAAAATATGTACTTTTAAACATAGAAACTACTTGGCAACTACATTATAGACAGAAATAATTAAATAATCATCAAGTAAATAATAATTTCAAACACTAAGAAATAAAGCCAGATAGTTACAAAGCTTAATAATTCTAAGTGTATTAACTCATTTTAATCTTAACTATTTTCTGAGGTTTATTATATATAGAAACTCTAATTTTAGATGTTATGAAAATCCATGTATATTGCAAAAGTTTTTCACACTTTTTTTCATTAATGTTCAGCAATTCATTAAGAAGTTAACTATTCAGCAAAGTATCATTCATTTATATAGATTTCATTTTAGAAAGTATGTTTCCTAACATTTTTACCTAAAATCAACCCCAAGAGAATCTGGAGCTCAAAAAGGCCTTTACAGGTTATACAGCTATGAGGGGCAGGCCTGGTCCCAAGCCCAAACAATGTTGTGGATTTAAAACTATGCATCTAAAAAATAAGACAAAATTATGCAGCTAATGTCTTTGGGTAAATGAGTAAATGAACAGACAAATGAATATAATCCTAACAAATAGGAGGTTTAGGTTAAAATGCCTAATATTTCCACCAAAACTTCTGGTTTTATTCTATTCAAATTTAAGAATGCATTCTCTGTTAAAAATACAAAGAATTACTATCATTCCTTGTAGTATAACAAATTCTGAGCAAAGCAAAACTAATGTAATTTTAGACAGTTTCTTGCCTACATCTCATTCCAGTGTTGAATTCTTAGAATGCTTGGCTACTTTTCCTTGAATTCTTCCTTCTATATCAACCTAAATGTCAAGAAGCTTCCTTGCATCCTAGAGACCAGCTCTGCTGTGTATCATAGCAGTTCTGTCCATTCTTCTGTTACAGACACAGACTGTTGTTTTACAACAATCAATTTCTTTGTATTTTCTATATTGTTAAAGGTTCTTCAGAAATACAATTTATCTTTAGAATCATGGATAACAGGCAATCAATACATAGTAATCAATTATTCACTCAGCTATAATTCATGTACATTTCAGAAATTTATATAAAGTCCTGAAAGGATTAAATTTACCATACTGAAGTTGTAAGAGTGTTAATGCATTATTCAATACTAGAAACATTAGAAAAATATGCAGTAACTAGAAATATGGTTTATTATTAGTAAAGTTTCTATACTTACAGATCATACATCTAAGTATCCACACCTAACTTCCAAATTGCTGTCTTGTTCCCTTTGTACCATTAAATTCTCCCTATTCAGATAACCCATCTGTGATGGTTAATATTGTAAACGTGCAATATCTAGAATCCCTATGAGACAAGCCTCCAGGCATACGTATGAGGGATTATCTAGGTTAGGTTAATTGAGTGGTGCCACCTAAAAGTGGGTGCCACCATCCCCTGGGCTTGGGTCCTAGGCTGCATAGAAAGGAGAAAGTTAGCTGAACATCAATATTCCTTGCTCTCTGCTTCCTGAATGCAGACACAATATGACTAGCTCCCTCAAGCTACTGCCATAGTGATTTCCTCACCATGAGAGATGGTACTCTGGAACTGGGAGCTAAAATAAATCCTTTCTCCCTTAACTTTCTTTTGTCAGGGTATTTTATCACAGAAGCAGAAGTAACTAAGACATCTTCTTTACATTAAACTGCCAACATAAGAAAAATATTGATAGTAATTAAAAAATATATTGAGGTATATAACTAAATTCCAATATTAAATACTTATAGAAGTTACAATGCACAAAACCAGACATATGGATTAATATTTACATATTATCTAGGAGTACTGAATATTTAAATATAGGTTGAATGAACTTTCAATATGACTAAGATACTTCATAGTCCCTGGCTTATGCTAATATTAATATTTAACATGCATGGTACAGACAATGCTAATGATAAAGTTTACTGAGAGAAAGCTGAGAATCAGGATTAAAATGTATTTAGTACATAAAAATAAATGATAAAATGACTCACTAGAGACAAGCACTTAAATCTGATCATAATATATAAGTATATTGTTTTGAAGTTTAAAAGTCATTTACTTGCTAAACTAAGAATCAAAGTCTTAACAAAATTAGTATGATCTACTATATTACACAACAATTTGTAAAATAGGTGTGTGCTTGCAGCAGAAGTGAAACATAAAGGCAATAGTGGTAGAGAAGAATTTATTAAAAATTTAAAATACGGGGCTGGAGAGATGGCTCAGCCGTTAAGAGCACTGGCTGCTCTTGCAGAGGATCTGACTTTGATTCCCAGCACCCACATGACAGCTAACAATCATCCATAACTCTAGTTCCAGGGGATCCAACACCCTCTTCTGACCTCTGTGGGCAATATATGACACAGGTACACCTACCGACATGCAGACAATACATTCATACATATAAAATAAAAATAATAAAATATATTTTTTAAAATTAAAATAAGCTGGGTATGGTGGCACATGCCTTTAATCCTCCACTCAGGAGGCAGAGGCAGGTGGATCTCTGTGAGTTCCAGGCCGGCCTGATAGTGAGTTCCAGGCCAGTTAGGGCTACAGGGAGACCCTGTCTCAAAAAAAAGTTAAAATACTGAGGTTGGATCCCCTCCCCATTCCGCTTCGGGACTGGGGACTGAAATCAGGGCTTTATTCATCCCATCTGGCAGGCTCAGAAGGAATGCCAAGACTCAGTGGCCTTGGTGGTCCTGAATTCTCACACCGCTGCACAGAGAGAGGAATAAGGAGAAGAGCTGCGACGCCATGAATCTGAGAGGTGAGACTGACCACATGACCAGACCGGCAGGACTTGGGAATGACTGACTGCCTTTGTTTCCCCTCCTTATATAATCTGCTGGCTAGAGATGTGATGAAAGACAGGTCCTTAGGATGTTAGTCCAGTCTTCTCAGATTGCTGCCTCTTTGAAAAGAAACCTAGCTTAAAGATTCAGATACACACAAAACCAAAATTACAAAAACCAAAGCTTGTAGATCATAGGTTATTGCTAATACTTATATTTGAAAATTTTGTTGTTATTATTTTTTCTTTTAGAGAGAGGGTTCACACTATGTCCGAGACTGGCCTGCAACTCTCTACCCTGGCAATCCTCCTGCTTCAGTCTCCCAAGAGCTGGGATTTAGGGGCCAGCAATTAAATCTGTTCATGTCTGTCAAAAATATTGCTTTCTGATTGAATTACTAATCAAGTAGCTGCAGACTCTAAAATTCTGCTTTTTTTTTTTTTTTTTTTTTTTGCCTTAGACAAATTTGTCTCACGGTTCTGAAGGCTAGAAACTTAAGATCATGTTTGGTTTCCTCTGTTTACTTCTTCCTTGGTTTGCACATATCCATCTGCTTCCTCACTGGCCTTTCCTTGTTCCGCTTTGTATGCATATATTTTCCCTTGTCATAAGGATACCAGAAAGATTTCATAAGGGCCTATGCTAATGGCATCATTTAACAAAATCATCTCTTAAATAACTACAAGTACAGTCATAGTTTGAGGTAGCTTAAGTTAAGGAACCAAAATGGAATTTGGGGGTGTGTGGGTGCATAATTCTATCCATAGTAATAATTAATTCTTGGGATGGTATAGTACATAAACATTTTTTGGGGGGTTGGGGTTTGAGACAGGGTCTCCCTGTAGCCCCAGCTGTCCTGGAACTCACTATGTAGACAGGTTGGCCTTGAACTCTCAGAGATCCACCTGCCTCTGCCTCCCAGGTGCTGGGATTAAAGGCGTGCGCCACCACACCCGGCAGTACATAAACATTTTTATAATGATAACAAACAATTATACTATTTGACTACTATACCTTTCATCATTATTTTAGAGTACTCCTGCATATATCTGAAACCAGTTTACGATGTTAACGGTGATCTCTTAGCTGGTAGTACAGCTCAGTTATACTTGTATAAAATGCATGAGACCCTGGCTTTAGTCCCAAGCACTGCCCCTTCTCTGTCAAAATGTATGCCATATTACATTAGTATCAGTTTCATGCATTTTGTGTTTGCCCAGCTCTATACTGCATCAAAAGTCTATCATGTTGAGTAACTGACCTACATCATTCGTTGTTTATACAACAATGAAACTGACCAAAGACCACAGTGAACACTGTACACTACTCCTGGTAGGATCTGGGAGTTAGTGAAGCAGAGTTGAATAAGAAATTTGAAAAAGAAAATTTAAAATTGCTTCATTCAAATTTCATAAACACTCATACTCAAAAGTAAGCTAAAGACTTTCTACTATACCACAATTTTTCTAAAATTAAGTTGCTCTTTACTCAGTATTAGAAAATATGTTTAAGTATCTCATAAAGACATATTTACTCATACATTTCTTTAGACACATATTTTTATCTTATACTCACTAGAAATAAAAACATACCTTTCCCAAAGTAAGGTCAAATGTGAAAACAAAGGCTAGAAGAAAAAAAGGCTGCAAAAATGATAGTATCAAAAACCTATGCTCTATAAAGATAACCTTGACCTAATTTCTGGAATTTCCCACTGTATTGTAGTGTCTCCACTATATGATGAAGATATGCAGAAAAAGACAAATTACATGGAGGACATGCTTAATAGTTTGAGAAAAACATTCATCTTACATAAAAAAATACATGGAAGCTTTATATTTTCACACATCTAAGGCTGGACTTACGAAGATCTGTTTGCTAGACTTGAAAAAGACTTGATGTGTCTTAAATTTGAGTAAAATTTCCAAAGAAAACATTCATTGTATGTTTATACGTGTAGAAACTTGCCGGGCGTGGTGGCGCACGCCTTTAATTCCAGCACTGGGGAGGCAGAGGCAGGTGGATCTCTGTGAGTTCAAGGCCAGCCTGGTCTACATAGTGAGTTCTAGGACAGCTGGGGCTACAGGGAGACCCTGTCTCAAAAAG